AGACGGGTCAGTCCAATGTACTTCGCTCACGGAGCGCAACAGATGTTGCCAATTGCTGCTTATTGTCTGCTAATCATTCTGTAAAATGAGTTTTTGCAGCAAAAGTAGAGGAAGGTTTGTTTAAATACTGCTAATAAGAGGTAAACCATTATACTGCAATTTGTCCCAGAGCCAGTTTGATCCAGGATTTGGCAAAGGTGCAAGCTACTGAGAGGAGAAGCCAACTGTTCCAAGCTGGGAGGAAATTATTCTCTTCTTGCAACTCCACCCCCACATGGGTTTGCTCTTTATGTGATGGACTTTAATTCAAAACAGGACAAAACAATGATAGTAGATTCCAGCATGAGACTTGTGAAAAGGAGAAGTGAGTCTGGGGAGGTCTGGCTCATGCCTAAGAGGGGTGTGCACATCAAACTCTGTTTCAGGACAGATTTACAAAAAGTGATGTCTAAATGGGGGATTTAATTTGGGAAGTGATAAAAACTCTACATAGTGGCTTACTACTGTTACATTAAATGTGGATTTCAGGTCAATTTAAAGACAACAAAAACAACAAAATTAAACAAAATATTATTCTAAAAATATTTTTCTTCATTGAATATCTTCTAAAATCAGCTCTCAAAAAGCAAAGCAAGACAGCAGTTATATTATAGTTACTCTATAACAAACTTTCTGTATATTACATGTTAATCTAGGAAATTAATCTTATGGGCTTCTTAAAATCATTAAGAAGTAAAACAATGTTGACTCCAAGTAGTCACATTCTGAAGCAATTTAGGGTTAGCAACAAAAAATGTTTGAGTCAACTCAAATGTGACTTGTCCAATTGTGAAAAAGACAAATGAGTCATGTGACCACGTCCTCTTCACCTCTGACATATCCTGCCTTGTCCTGCTGCCAGAATCGCCATAGTTACAGCCAGCCCACAGCACGATTGTGGCCTTTGTAACTGTTGGCAAATAAGCATTAGCCTCAGTTTAGAGCGTTAAATCATGTTTCAGTTTTACTACAACTAAGAGGGACTGAATCATACTATTCTAGACAAACACATATATTTTTAAAACTAAGAGCAAAATGGAAACATTCAAATTGAACTTAAAATTAAACAGGACAGACAAGTTATCTCAGAATAAGTTATTGAGAACTTCTCTTAAAATGTCAACATGGTTTTTATATTTTTTTATAAAATAATTCTATTTTATAAAATTTAAAAATATATATATTTTTTTTAGATATTACTTTTTTACATAGACACACATACAATGATGTAAGGTTGGGAAAAACAAAAAGAAATTAAAGCCGCAAGCGGCATCTAACGGCCCTCGCCGCACCGCGCAAAGGAGGTGGCGCTGACGCGCCATTTTCCTACCGCCCTGATGGGAGCGACACTATGCATTTTGAATTCCTATGATCAGTGATTGTGTGTGTCTCTACTGAATAGAAAAACCTCTTTCTCCCCATGCAACACTTGAATCAGTCTGTAGGGGGCGCTATTGCTTCAATTTCATGATTCACACTTTCAGTTTACTCAAACCCAAGAGTTGAGCAATCAATTCAAATTTTGTGCAAATCGGACTTTGTATGTGCAAATGGTGTTATTTAATGTTATACAATAGCGCCCCCTACAATTTCAATTTTAGTGTTATACCATAGAACACCAAAATAATACACTTTATGCCTGAAAAAAACGTGTGGCAAAGTTTGGTGAGTTTTTGTGTTTGTTATGTGGGTCAAATATGAGATCAAACAACAGTAAACCTAAATACCTGTATCCCCATGTAAACCTTTACTCAGCCTGTAGGGGGCGATAATGGGCCAATATCATTGTTCACACTGTCATGTGACCTAGGCCCAGGAGTTGAACAACCGAGTCAAGTTTAGTGCAAATCAGAGTTTGTAAATGTGCTCCTGTTTGCCCATACAATCTGAGAGTGTGTCCATACAGTCTCCATTGGATAACATGAGATTTTCACACCTCTCTATGAAAATGACCACAATTTGGGGGTCTGTCACACTCAGACCGTTTGACTAATTAAAACTCTATATGCAACTATTGATGGTCCATGTGTGGAGACCATGTGGAGCGATTTTCAGACAAATTAGTGAAAGGGCCGAGGCTGGTTTGATGTTTGCGCGAGGTGTACTTTTCAGAGATTTAACAATTTTCTCATAGAAACAGACAGGGGAGTGTTGGTCGTCGCCACGGCAACAGGGTAAAAAATAATTATATGTTGTCATTGACTTTTTGAATCCAGATGACAAAACAGAATTATGTGCAAAATTTCAAACATTTTGACAAAACTAAATTTTAAAAAGCCCATGTAAAACTTTAACATGGTCTGTAGGGGGCGCTCATGGGCCAATTTCAATATTTAAACTTTCAAATGACCTAGACCCTGGAGCTGAACAATGGATAAAAATTTGGTGCAAATCCGGTTTGGTTTGTGCAAATGGGAGCAAATTTACTTTTGTCAAAAATAGAAGAAAAAAAAGTCACATTTTGCCGCTCCGCTGCTCGGACAATGTTTAACTGATCCAAATTCTATATTCAATAATTGATGGGACATGGGTTTAGACCATGTGGAGCGATTTTGAGACAAATCGGTGAAACGGCCGAGGAGGAGATAATTTCCAACCGACATGTGTGAAAAATATAAATTTTAATTTTTCCATTTCCCATTGAAAATGGGAAATGGTAATCTGAGGAGCGCTACGTCCGCGCACTAACTTCTCTCCGTACTACAAGTCACGCTGCTTCTATTGACGGAAGTGAGCGAGAGAGAAGTCTCCGGAGAGAAGTTAGTGCGCGGACGTAGCGCTCCTCAGATTACTACGCCTCACAATATAGTACCCGTTTTATCCGCTGAGAAAATCGACAGTTACATTTCTGTGTTACTATACTTTGCAGTGTAACACGTCACGTAACATACATTTAATAGGGAACACTTGGAAGAGTTTGGTAGCTTCTAGCGGGAGCTACCTTTTGGGTACTGTATACAGTATACAGAGGAGGCTGCGTTTGTGCTCCCGTTTTTGCTCCGTTTGCATGACAGAGCGCACGGACTAAGACCAGACAGGTACATATTAACTAGTCTAAGGTAAGGTAAGAACATATGTCAGTATGTAAAAACGGTGAACTATTCCTTTAATGAGCTCCCTGTTTGTCAGGGGGCGGAGCCATAATAACTTTTTTTTCATGTCTTGACCTGAGGAACATGTGTACCGAATTTCGTGGCTCTACGACAAACTTGACCTCCGACCCCCTCCCATAGGCGCAATGTAAAGTGACTTTTGTAGGGGGCGCTGTTCGGGCATTTTTTTAGTCCCATAAAAATAAACACCAAAAAAATTAATTTTTTACCGGTTCTGAATTTTGGGCAAAATTTCACAACTTTTCATCAATGTTCAAGGGGTCAAATTAAGGTTCAAAGTGCAGAAGAAAAAAGAAATAAACTAAACTAAACCAAACCAAGGAATTTTTTTTTTAAATCTTCCAGCAAAAACAATATAGGTTTCCATAGTAACCTATAATACAAATGATACGTAGTTTTAAAGCAAACGACGAGGCGAACGCAACTATTGGGTTCTCTGTGATGCGCTCGTCAATCACCTCGCAATCATGAGGTCACCCACCCCCCCCATAGGACCCCATTAATTACACTGTGTACTACAGCAGGAGCAAAGCCATTCAGTGCCTCCGGCACTGTTTTGTCAGTGTCTGGTCACGTGCCGTCGGGCTTGGGGGACGAATGTCCGGGCAAAGCCCGGTAAGACAGTTGAAGGAACCCCCCTTTAATAGGACTTCAATCATTTCATTGAGTACTACAGCAGGAGCAAAGCCATTCCGTGCCTCCGGCACGGATTTATCAGTGTCTGGGCACGTGCCGTCGCGGAGATTGTGACTTATGACAGTTACAACGAGTACTCGTTGGAAAAGCAATAGGCCCTTACCCCGGTTGGGGCTCGGGCCTAATAAGGTGCAAGCTGTATTAAAGTTGATTTCATGATATTTTGAAAGTATTGCTAGAACTTCTCTGTTCTCTTCTCTGGGCCTGCAGAGGGACTATGGGTGGGGGGAGGGCAATTTTGAATACAACTTGTGTCCACTATGCAGTGACATCTATGGTCTAACCAGTTGTGCTTAAAAGACTTTGGAAAGGTGATAAGATAGACTTTATTGATCTCACACAGAAGACATTTACATGCATGTCACATCTGGCATGGATAGATGAGGTCTTAATCATTTTTTTATGTTTTAAAGCTGCACTAACTGACTTTATTTTTGTATTAATTACGAAAATGCTATCCATGTCCATGGGCATTGGGATATACGTCCTTTTGAAGAAAAAGTAGCGCAGATTTGTGCTGGCCTGACATTATATTTTAGATCGAGTTTTGATGAAACAAGGAAGAGAATGTGTTTCGGGTCGCAGATTGTGACCAATCACAGCGCACCACTAGCCCCCACTTTCGTGAGAAATCTACAGGTTCATTAGCACAGACAGCTGAGTTAGCACAACAAGCGGCGGAGCTAACCTGAAACTTTCTCGTCTTCGTCACCGGATACTGCTTACACAGCGAAACAGCCATCCAAAAGAAAGTCTCGTTCCTCCGCGCTTCCCGGTTCTATCGTTCTATGGTCACGCCATCCACGTGAAAATCCATATCCATGTATTATCCATATTGGGAGACCCTAGCTCCGTCTCAACACTGTGTGTGTGTGGGGGGCGATAGCTTCGTGGGTGCGGGGAGGGGAGGAGAAAGAGAGAGGCCAGCGAGTCCGCGGCTTCAAAATCCCAAAGTCAGTTAGTGCAGCTTTAATTTGAACAATTTTGTTGGAATAAACATCTTAAATCCACTTTAATGGGTAGTCTATTCCACAAAGCTTCTATGTAATTAATTATATAAAATGATTATTGTTACAAAATTCTTGTGTCAGTGAAAATAGATGTGCATATAATGTGTATTACATATTTAAATACTAATAGTGGGTCCCCCATTCAGTGCCCTTCGTACCTGTCATCATCTTGAGCCACAGGAATGGCGATGCCAAACAAGCTGACAGTTGGAGCAGACAGGCTGAGACCCTCCGTGATCAGAGGCCTGACAGAGATGGACAAAGGGAGGGAATCTGACCTGGAGTCTTCAGACTGAACCCCTGAGTGAGAGGGTATCACTCGAGAAGCATTGACCATGGCAGGCACATTCCAGATGCCATTGTGGCGGGGAAAAGGAATTGGAGACGATGCTGCAATACTTATTGCCTCTAAAGCCTGGCTGCTGGTGGTCATCACCGAGGCTAAGGATGCTTTTGTCGCGCCAGAACTAGGGGGGCTAAGAGGTGACAGTGGCTGGTTGCTGTGAGACCGTTGAGATGTTTCACGAAAGCTTGGAGAACTTGAAACAATGTGTTGGTGGTCAAAAAGTCCAGACAATATGCCAACATTAGAGTTGGTGAGCTGCTGAGGCTGTGTGGCACGAGGCATCACTGGAGACTTTTGTGGCACGGGTGCTTGGTGGAGATCATTAAGGCCGTTGGAATTAACAGGTTGGACAATGACAGGAGTTGTTTTTGTAGTTTCATATCCTGTGGGCTGGAAGGCACTAGCTATATTTGCAGTCGGAGGAGCTATAGTATAGCCTTGTTGCAGCAGCTCTGAAGAAGGGAAAGACACTGTTGGGTGTGTACCTTCGGCATTGTCCACGGAGGGGGCAGTAAAAGAATTAAGGGCATTCACAGAGTTACTGATGAATCCAACACCACTGTCTCTGTCGGAGCTGTGCTCATGCGTCACAGTGGGTTTCAAACTGTCTATAGTTCTGTTTGATTCTGACTCTTTCTCATAAAACTCAGTGCATGTCCATTTTCCCTTTCTAAAAGGTTCCCCTATACCATGGTCAAGCTTAATGACCCGAAAACGTGAACTACAGCTGATGGGAGCCCCGCTGTTGGAGGCACATGGAGGCTGATTGGAAGATGTTTGAGTATTGGTTGTAGATGACACTAGAACACTTCCTCCAAAACTAACAGGGGTGTTGCGACCTTCTGTGACGGAACTCTTATGAAGGAAGGCACCATTTCCCGACGCTGGCCCGATATGATAATCCCCAGTGTGGTTCAGAAGAAGCTCCTCAGAAGTTACTCCCAGCTCTGTGCGAGATACATCTACGGTTTGAGACTCGTCTGGGTCCTCGATACTTTCACTGTCTGTGATGGTGTTACGTGCCACTTGAGCCTGGGTGACACTAGTAATCTCGAAGCAACTTTTCTTCTTTCCTGGTATGTTAGACATGTTCCAAACGTACGCCCCAGCTCCCAAAATCATCAGTAAACAAGTGCAATAGGGAACAGATTGCAAATTAGCCACGTCCCCCGCCGAATACATTCATGATCCTCTACATCTCCACACCTGGTGAAAAGTAGACACTAGAATAAATGAAAAGTCTCCTTACTGTATCATAACACACGCAAAAACTGCATGCCCACCAGTGTCTGTGTCAGGAAAGCGCACTTTCAACAGGTCCGAGCAATCCACCGGTACTTCACAGAGAATGAGGTGGGCTCACTCCGCTCTCTCAGCCTTGGCTTTTTCTTTAGCTGGAGCCGAGTGGCTATTATAGTCGCCAAATTATAAAATAGCAACAGACTTGTTACCGATTAGATGATACAAACACATTTGCATGCGTGTCAGGAAGAACATGTACTCCAGCAGCCGAGGAGGAGTCCAATATCGGGTGAAGTTTGCTTGCGTCGTGTACACAGCTCTCTAGCGGCGGTTCGCTGACAGACACTGCTGCAGCAGCAGCGGCAGCAGCAGGAAGCTAGCAGCTAACAAGCAAGCCCAGTCAGAAGCTACGGCGCTCTGCACCCTGGGAAATGTAGTTAATGTACGGGCGTTTAACGCTGGGGTATATCTATGTGGGGTATCTGACTTTTGAATTACAGAGATAGAAAAGTGAAAAAAGAGGATTAACTGTGGTTCATATGGAGCTTTCTTAATAATAATAATAATAATGAATGCGTCTGTTTTATAGAGTGCTTTTTTGGAAACTCAAAGATGCTTCACAGGCCTTTACCAAACACGACTGTGATAAACTACTATTGTAGCCACAGCTGCCCTGGGGGAGTGAGGCAACCCCGGCCACCACGAAATATTCGCTGCACACCAGACTCAGCCTAGGTAATGGGTGACGTTATTTGCCTAAGAACACAACGACAGTTTGGCCCTTTACAGCTGCAGCCGACCCACTGTAGCACCTGGTGTTCCCTGAGGTCTCCCATCAGAGTACTAACCAGGCCCTTCTCTCTAGAGGTCTGGAGTTCACCTGCAGGCATGGCCACCTACCATAGACTGTAAAAATTAACCTACATGCAGTTGACCACGTATACGTTCATTCATTCATTCATTTTAATCCCTTTGTCCAATTCTGGGTCAGGGGGGTGGCAATCAGAGCTGCCACCTAATTCACATTGCACCAGTCCCTCACTGATCCTCTTGCAGGTGGTGGGTCCACAGGAAGATGGCTGTTCCTTCATCACAGTTAAGGCCTTTGATCTTTCAGCGGGGACTTCAGGCAAAGTGGGGTTAAGTGTCTTGCCCAGGGACATGAAGAAGATGTACCAAGTCTGGGATCGCGTCTTTCATTCAGACAGAAGACATGTTTTATTGTCAATGGTAGAAACAGCACGATCAACAGATACAAGAGAATGCAAGTGTATTATACAGAGCGGAGGCATGGAGACCTCCAATCAGCAGCTGCCACGGTGCCATGTAGCTTGGCCTTCAGATAGACAAAACATGAAGTGGAAAAGTACAGGCTTCTGCACATTGATAGAATGATGAGTTTAACTTTAACAAAAGTTGCTTCAAAGTGTTATGAAATCTCACATTCTCCCCTCTGGTCATACATTCACGTGTGACCATCAGGATCGATAAACAGCAACATAACATCATAACTCAATACTTCAAAAACTCATAAACTCGGTACTTCACTCGGTACTTCAAAAAACTCAGAACTCGGAATACTTCAAAAACTCATAAAACTCATAAAACATGTTCAGATCTTTCATAAAACTTGTCAACAATCTTCAGTAAAATACCAAACTTCATCAGTCGATGGTTCCAGATATTGCTTTGAAAACAGTCTCTCCCACTTCTCCGTGTTGGTTTCTTCAGGCTGCATTTGTGTCGAGCCATGAATTCTTCTGTGACGTGTCTTTCAATCACACGTTTCAGCTTCAGTGTCCAGATTCAGCAATTCAATTCAGTCCAAATTATGTCCAAATTCAGAAATCCAGATTGTTCCAAATGATGTCCTTGCAAAAGAGGACGATGGTATTGTCCATGTCTCAGCAGCTCACAGCAGGCCTGAGTGGAATCAGGGGCTGTGCAGATTGTCCATGTGCTGGTCCAGATGCATGGTTTCTCTTGAGGTTTCTCAGTTTTGGCTTAAAAAAAAAAACACTTTTTGTGTAAAAAAAAGGTCTTCTGTTCTGTAGATGTTACAGACAAGGCCCGCATCCTTCCACCACCTGAAGAAGATGTACCAAGTCTGGGATCGCGTCTTTCATTCAGACAGAAGACATGTTTTATTGTCAATGGTAGAAACAGCACGATCAACAGATACAAGAGAATGCAAGTGTATTATACAGAGCGGAGGCATGGAGACCTCCAATCAGCAGCTGCCACGGTGCCATGTAGCTTGGCCTTCAGATAGACAAAACATGAAGTGGAAAAGTACAGGCTTCTGCACATTGATAGAATGATGAGTTTAACTTTAACAAAAGTTGCTTCAAAGTGTTATGAAATCTCACAGACACAACAACAGACATGGGTCATGGTGGGATCTAACCATTAGGTCCAAAGATCAATGCTCTACCAACTGAGTTACTGTCACTGCAACACTGAAAGTTCCCAGCTGTGAGACCGATTAATGATCTCTTCATCTCTTTATCATTGGGTAAACTGGTTGATAATTTGTATATATTCGTATAAATACTGGTCCATACTAACAGAGAAATATAGTTTACAACCGTTTGACCAACTGTCTGTTACAAAGAGGACGCTTAAAAATAAAAAAAATTGATTATGAATAAAGCATTTTGGTAAAACAAAAAGCATGGATTTAATGATGGTAATGTAGGTTACTCATTAAAGAATATATTTATTATTTTCCCTAAATCTCTTGATTTGGAGAGAGTCCAAAGCTTTTAGAAATCTTTCAATTTACTTTGGCCAAAATGGGATTAGCCAACATTTACAACTTGCAAACCTCTGAAAGAGAACCATTGGTCTAATTTTAGATGACTAATGAAATAATCACAGTAACACGTATTTGTGGTGACCCTCCATGACCCTGATGAAGTATGTGTTACAGTTATTTGTTAGTTCTCATTTGCCCTCACCACAAACCTTCCTACCAAGACATGTCTATTTAAATCACAAGTGGAAAATGTACTTTATTTAAAATCAGAAAATCCAAAACATTTAAAAGAGCTGATTACAGGATTACCGATCACAAAACAGAAGCTGCTTTGTGACCTGATTTACTGACATAACTATCATTGAATGACTACGTTACATAATGTCCGGAACCCATCTCCCTGTCAAGAGAAAAACAATGTCATGTGGTTTTTCAGATAAGACAGCGGATGTGCCTTCTTTTTTATTCTTACACAACAAATTATCTACTTTTATCTCATTTATTTAATTATGCATTTATTTATAGTGGTTTAATCAGTTTCAGTTTGTCTCAAACAGTCTAGTGACTAGTCTTTCTTAAAAGCCCTTGACAACAACAAAGAACAAAAATTGTTAAAATAACTATTCTTTGGTAAATGAATAAAACAAATATGGACCCCATACAGACAATCAACATGTCTTTAAATTTAGCAGATAACTTCACGACTGGAAGAGACAATAGAACAAATCTTGTACTTCAGGGTTTTCTTGTTAGTCTTGGGTAGTATGTGAAAGTATATTTGTAAATTGAACACAACCTTGCATATGTAATCAAGTAAGTAGTTAAATTAATTTAGGTTAAATAAAAGAGAAATGTTCAAGAGTGCCTTTAAAACAATTACTATGCTGTTAATAGTTCCATACTGGAACAAAATATGACAACAACAAAAAAACATTGTTGTAATCTGAATTTAGAAGCAATCAAGCGATCTTTATTTGTAGAGCACTTTCATACAAAAGGTAAGGCAAAGTGCTTCACAGTTCATGAACACATTGATCCAACAATCCAACAGATCCAACCTCCAACAACAGATCCACCCGAAAAAAGCAGTAATGAATATATTTACTTGGGCTTGTTGTGACACTGGTGGTCGTCAAAAACAATGTTACTAACCTATTTTCATAAAACGTAAGGAGTAAGTACTGATATTTGGGTTTGAAAATAAAGAGTAAAAGTTAAATGTCAGAAAATAAATTGTGAAGTAACGTTTTGATTCCAAGTACAACAGGTTGTGTTCTATGGAGGAAAGAAGCATTTTTTACAGAAAATGTTTTCCCACAATATCATCTGTGATTCAACTCAAAAACCAACCATGATATTCATGTGTTTTAAAATCCATTCTACTAGCCAACATCTTGACATCTATGTTTTTGAATAATTTCAACTTGTCACTTTTTTGAACATTTTATTTAGACTTGACTTCACCACAATTCTAAACTTCTTTGGAATGTTGTGATGTCACAACATATATTACGACACTGTTCAAAACTTGGACCTGTACATCTGTATATTTGAATAGGTTATGTTTATTTACTTTAGTCTGCCAGGCACAGATGACCAGGCCACCGTCTACTGGTACTGCTTCCACTTCCATGTTATGTCTTAATAACGCAATTCCATACTCAGTTTATATTTATAGTTGTTACAAGCCTGACCCATGAAACCTATGGCTTTTTTTTAGGAAAAAACGTGGGGCCAGGCATGGTCAACAAACGTACTGACCAATCATCAGTCATCACATGCTAAAACTGTGAGAAGGCAAAAGTACCATACAAGAGGTCATTTGAGGGCTGCTGGACCGGGACTAAACCTGAATAATGACAGCAGCATGCAAGGATTGTGTGATTTAATTTTCCTCTGATGCATTCTATTTTCTGCAAACATTGTTATTATTTATGATTCCACACCCAGTCCATAGTCTATTCTGGTTTCATATCAGGGCCTGGCCTACATATTTCAGCAATAACGTATTGGTGCAAAAAGTATTTGGAAATCCACGACTATAATCATTTCACTTTTAAGAGCTAGAGACATGATGATGATTTTATGC